ACTAATCACCAATAGCATGTACAAAAGAAGACTAGACTAGACTAACCAATGAGTAAAAATTGAACTACTAGGCATAGAAATTCTAAAAAGCAAATAGATAATAAAAACAAATTTCATGAATCAAAACTTGAGTGCATTGCATTATCAACAAGTAAGAACAATAAGATTAAAGCTAACGGACATGCAAGGAGGACAAAGTGGCAAGGAGAAAGGGGGAAAGGCCTCTCGGCCGAAGTGTAACCCGAAAAAAAAAAAAACAAAAGGGGGAGGGAGGTTGAGCGTGAAAAGGAGAGGATGAGGAGACTAACCGGACTCAGAACTTGGCTTGGAAACCCGGAAGAGAGCTCGTGCCCTTGAGAAAGCTTGAGACGATTTTTTGGTGGTCTTTTGTGGAGGTGTGGCCGAAACGAGGAGGAGGGGGAGTATAAAAAGGTCGAAGATGGGAAAATGTGGGGGGAAAAGAGAGGAGGGAAAAAAGGTTTGACGAATTTGAAATTCAAAAGGTGTATGGAGAAAGTAAAAAGTTGATGGTGAAGTGAAAGGGATTTGATGGGATGTGATGGGTGGAGTTTTCAAGACTTTTATAGGGAAGAGATACACTTTTGTAGGGATTCAACCATATCTAAAGAAGATTTTGCGAAAAGAAGATTTTATTCGCGATAGGATTCTACTTGGACGAGGTCGGCCGATTTTGTCCTCCACCCAGGAAAGCAGAGCAAGGAAGTATGGAGTGGACCCGGGGCCCCGAGGTTGAGCCACGTACTCGACCCAAGGCATCTCGACCATAATGGGCTCGGCCATACGAGCTCGGTTGTATGGGCTTGACCATGTTGACCCGCAGACCCAGTCTCGACCTGGGCGCGGTCAGCACGGGAGATGCAACCACCCCCGGTTTAGGTGGGGCGGTTAGGGGTTTATTTATATAAATAAACCATGTTTTGTCCCATTAAGACATATTCTCTATCTCTTACATTTACTCTATCCTATTTGTCCTAAAACTACCATTGTAGTAACGTTACATCCACCTTATAATAGCTCGATAACCCTTATCTAATACAATATTTGGTCCCCGTGACCCTACGATACACATTTGTCCTATTTTGCCTACGCATTTATCCATTCTTTATTTATCGGGTTTATTGATTCAGGCTACCCCTGGTTAATTAAATCCATCAAATATATATGTATATAATAGACATACATGGCATTTTTTCAAAAAGTTTAATGTGTTTGGTTGGAAATAGTGTTACTAGTTAACTTAGAGGTTGGGGGTTAGATTCTTAAGCTATACAAAAATTATAATATTTTAACAATATAAATTAAAAAATAAATAAACAAGCTAACGGGCTGGTCCGTTTAGCCCGTCAACCCCCACATCACGGGTTAGGTTGGGATTTTCCCAACCCGTGTAAAAAAAAAAATGGGTCGGGTTGGGTCATTTCTAGACGAACCCGAGCCGAGTTGGCTCGTTTTGACAGCTCTAATTAAGAGTGGTAGAATAAGGGTTGATGGGTACACTCGGCCGGGAAGTCGAGGTCGGAGGGTTGTCAATAACTCCTCGGCAGCTAGGAAAAGAAGATGAAGAGGGATTTTGCGATAAAGACATGAGGGCAAATGTGAGAAAAGAAGAAAATAGGGCAAAATGGCACACCTGGAACTGAAAAGAAAAGGACCACAGGGCGAAAAGGCTAACCAAAATTAAGGTCAACGACAGCTAACCGTAAAACCAACAGACAGGCCAAGAAGTAGCCGACCCAACCCACCAAAAAGCAGGCTAAACATGCCTAACCCGACAAGTTAGGCCCATTTTTGTAGTTCCAACGGCCATTGATAGGGTAAGTCGTAAAACCAACCATAAGAGTGCTTGTTATTTGTGTATAGACAATAATGCACTTTTTATTAAGCTACAAGTGCATTGCCATATTACTAGGTACAAGTGCACTTTCATTATGTTTCAAGTGCACTTTTGTTATGATACCAGTGCAACAATGTAATGCTAAAAGTGCAAAAAAAAAAAAAAAAATGTGATGTTAGAAGTGTTTCTCGTGGTGATTAACATAAGAGGTTTTAAGTTACAATTGATAAATTGTGCAGCAGTGTGATGTTTGAACAGATATAGAACTTAGAAGTTACCAGTTATTACTTCAAAAGAAATTTGTAAGTTAATTTTTACTATATCATTATAACAATATCTATTTTAACTATATATTTTGAATTATTTATTATCATCCTCTATTGACATTAATGGTAACAATTGTCATTGACAAACTCTCAAAACAATTTTTCTCAACAATGAATGTAAATTTTTAAAAAATATTAATGATTTCATTATTGTTGATGAAAAGTATGTACGCCAATTTATTACTCTTATTAAATTAAATAAATTAGTAGCTACAACAAAAAATAATACGTATGCATTTAATTAATCTAGAATTAGATGTCTATAATGCCTTTATTTAAAAAAAAAAAAAAATTAGTCATTATAAAAAATTTAAAAAGAGATGTAATTTCATTAGTTATATTATCTTTATTTTATACAATTCAAAGATTCATAATTCATTACCTTCAAATTTATTAATTTATTATATTTGTTATATTGTCCATTGTCTTCTTTTTTACATTATCTTGTAATTAAATATCACAATTACAATACAAAATATGCTATATATATTTAATTACCAAGTATTTTATACAAATATAATAAATATTAATATTTTGTTCAATACTTTCACATGATAACCTACGACACACATCTCACAACGCATGAAACATGTAGGAAAAAAAATACCACTACCAAATATCAATAGGTGCTTGTAAGATAAAGAGTTAATAATAAACTAAGATCCTATCATATACACAACAAGGCAAATCTAAAGCTTCTTACACCATAATCTCATTGCACGACGAATCCATCTATGTTACCACTATTAACTCAATTGCACATGACACACTACCAATAAAAAAAATAATAATAATAAAAAAAAGAGGACGTGTACTGAATATGAAGATAATGACAATGCTACCCAAAAGAGAATTAAGAAGAATTAGAGAAATTTAAACCAAAAGTAGTACGGAGTATTTATTTAGACTATCATTTTTAGATTAAGTATTTAGCAATGTTGCAAAAAACGTTAGGCGCCTAGGCGCCGATTTTTTTTATAATTAAAAATAAAATTAAAAATTAAAAATTTTCAAAATTTAGTAATAAAACATAAGGTTTTCATAGTTATTTCTTAGAAACTATTTACGAAAGTGGTTGTAAAATTGTTCAAAAGATTATTTAAATCATAAAAATACATAAAAAAAAAACTAAAATTAAGAGCTAAAGAAGCATTTTTTTGAGAAATTAGTGGACCAAACCGCCTTTGTCCAAATCGAAAAAATACACGATTTGAAAAAAAAAATTGTCCAAATCGGACAACCGAGTCAAAAGTTATGCCTTCCGGAACTTTTTCCACATTTTCAAAAAAAAAAAAAAATCCCCGAACCGGCCGGTTAGGCGGTCTAGGACACTAGGCGGCCGCCTAGCCGGCCGGCTGGCTGCCGAGGCCATTCCTCGCGGCGGCCTCCCAGTGCCTTGCGCCTAGGCGCGATTTTTGCAACACTGGTATTTAGACTAGCGTTATTACAAAGTTACAAACATTTATTTTAGTGACAATATAATAAACAATATATTATCTTGCATTTATATACTTTAAATTATCGATTTAAATAAACAAATTCAATATTTATTTACCTATGCATGAACATCTCCGATATAATATTGCATTGATATACTTTGAAATACTTATTTAAAAATAATCATTGGGCATTATTCCGTTCACGCAAACAGCGTAAAAAAACTAGTAAAAATAATACGTGAGGCAGTGTCGGTTTAGATACACTGTAGTGTCGCTCTGTTAACTAACAGCGTATCGTTTCTTTACTTAAAGAAATGGTGCTGTTTTGACCGCGATGCACGTCCACCACGGTCCACGATATAACGACCCTAGCCCTAACCCTATACCTCGGGCTGTTGAACTTATGGGGCGGACTAAATTGTTTGAACTAAAACTGAAAATCGAAAATGAATACTTAAATTCAATAGAATGGGTCAACCCGTCAAGTGGTCAACCGGATCGGGATGAACATTGAGCACATTAAAATTTAAGGATTACATGTTATTCCTATTTACTAGTATGTCACCCGTACGATGCACGGACTAAATATTTGAAATATTAAAATTATGTTATGTTATTAAAAATATTAATGTTATTAAATTACATATATAAAAAAGCGAATATGAGATTTGTTCTTTTATAAAATTGTGTAATTAAAATAAAAATTAATATTTAAGCTGGATAATTACTAAAAGTGTTAATGTTATATATGGCCAAGGTTATTTGTGATCATCCGAGTATAATGATTTTACCACTTATAAAACAAATTCATACTTAACATTTTCATTCCAAGCAAAAAAAAAAAAAATGATAAAAAATCATATCATTAAAAATATAGTTTCTTTACATTTTCATTCTAAAAAAAAAAAAAAAAGAAGATAAAAATCATAACATTTAAAATATAATTATTTACTTAAAAAAAATCTGGGCCAAAGTATATATCCATTTAAATATATAATTTTTTGTTTCTCTGGTCCAAATCAAAAGCCCAAAACAAATCCCATCACAAACGGCAAATTATTATGTGGACCATGGTCCACGCAATGTTATGTGGACCATAACAAAAAATACATTTTTAATATACTAAATATACATTATTTTTGTACTGAATGTACATTATACAATATAATGTACACTCAGAACAAAAATAATGTACATCCCCTGAATACAATGTACATTATTTTTATATTGAATGTACATTATTTTTGTACTAAATGTACATTATTTTACAGTAGACAAAATATGATCCACACAACTTGTATGGATCTTGGTCCACACAATAATGATTGATCACAAACCCATTTCAGCTCACATATTATAAACACAAACCAAACCCTAAATCTATCAACGGGCAGCATCACCACCCCTGTCTGAATATCTTCTCTGCCTAGTCTTTGTTCACTTTGTTTCTGTCCGAGAACTGCTACATCGTCTCCACTCTACCAATTTAACAATCACACAGTCCTCCCTACGGACCTTCTTGCTTCCTTCTACCGGATGGTTTAATTTTTTTTCTTCGGCGAGGTGGAAGAGGTTTGTTTCCAGAAGATTTGCATGCACCAATTTATTTTTTCCCCAGCCTCCTTCGCTCCATTTTTTCAGTTTTACCACTCACACCAATAGATCTGAGAGAAAACTAAGTAATTTCTATTTTTTGTCTGCTCACTATATTAGTAAATGGAAAGAAAAAGCAAGAGGTGGATGTGGATGAGACAGAAAGCTAGCGAATCATTTTGGACCGTTCAGCGGGGCTTCCTTTTCCTCATCAAATGGCGGTGACTCTTTTTCTCCTCTTACTTCTGATTCGTCCCACCTTTCACTGCACTTCCCACCGTCAAACAGTTCTAGATTTTTCGGCGCCGGATGACGGTCAGCATGCTCGGCGGCGATAGAAGCCCCAGTGTGGAGGAAGAGTACACCCAGAGACACCACAGACATGAGGTCGGAGAGAACCAGTGTAGCTCCTCGCTCGTTAACCACATCAGAGCTCCTGTTCATCTCGTGAGTCTCCGCACGCTTGCTTTTCTTTTGTTCTTCCGATTTTCTGTTCGTTTCTGCTGAGTATTACTCCGATCCGGTCGTTCGTGCTATTGTTTGCAATCCTTTTGGGTGAATTTTAGCTATTATATTTGTTCATTTAATTTATTACTACGCAAGGGAAAATATAAAATAAAAAAATGAATTTGTTGGGGTTTATGATTTGAATGGTAAAATCTAATATTTCAAAAAAAAAAAAAAAATGGTTAGGGTTTATGATTTGGACTAAAAAATCTATTATTTACACCATTTGTATTCAGGCTTCCTTAAGAAATCACAATATTGAACATTAATGGACAAAAATAGAACCACCAAAAATAGACACAAACAAAAAACAGGTGAAAATCTTTTTTTTTTTTTTAATTGTTAGCTATTATTTTGCACGTACGAACACATACATTATATATATATATATATATATATATATATATATATATATTCTAATATTTAATTACATTTTAGCATAGGCATGAATTCAACAAAAGATCTTTGAGAGTTTAAAAATCTAAAAGACTAAAAACTTCATAAATATTTAATACTATATATGTAAGTTAAAAAAAAAAAACAATTTTAAGTAAAAATTAAATCACACAAGAAGGAAAAAAAAAATTTAAAGTTAGAATGCTAAGAAAGATAAAAAAAAAATAGTATAAGGATAAATAATTGTAATGAGCAGTAAATAATGACACTAAATATGAATTTAAGAAAATAGAAAGAAAATAACTAAACTTGTATACTATTTACTATGCAAATCAAATTCAATAACTAAGCTTTATTCATTACATTAACTTCTAATCAGCATGCATGTTTCTTTCTAGTATTAACAAAATTGTTTTATAAATATGGTGTAGATGGTGCAGAATTGAGACACATATCCAAAGCAAAATAGGAACATGGTGCAAATCAAATAGGAAGTGAAAATTTGATAAAGATTGAATTTAAAACAACAGGTATGCTTCTATTGTACCTTTATCTTCATCATTGTGTTTTCTCTTTCCACATGTGCTTGTTGACCCCTTCAACATTTTCATTTTGCCTGCATTTGTTAACTATTCACTTTGAAATTTTTTTTCCCTCCGAAATGAATATACATTAGACATGTTTCTCTCTTAAATGCCATATATATAGATATTACCTTCTAGAGAACTCAAAAGCCACTATCAAGGATTACAATAGGGTACTCAATGTTACTGCATGCTAGTAGGGCTAGATCTAGGGGTAAAGTAAAAATGTTGTGTGTATCGATTATTGTGTAACTTGTAGTCTACTCAAGCACATAGTACATCATTTTTGTTTCATGATTACATTTTTTAATTCAATTACTAACAATCTACAATTAGAGGCAAATGCTGATAAAAGAGTCTAAAGCTTTTTTATGTTTTTTAGTTATTGTCTTCTTATACAACTGTTGTGTTATAAGCTTATTATTAGGAGTTCACCGGAAACCATATCAAGAGAACAAATACAATATATAAAAAAACTTATCATCTATATACATACATATATATATATATATATATATATATATATATATATATATATATATATATATACCATCAATAACACAAATACTATACTCTAGACTTATAAGTTCCAAAACCCAAATAGTAACATAGAAAATTACATGCAAGTGATAATAAAAGAGTCTGGTGCCCTTTTTTCCTGATTAAAGTGTTCTAATTAATTTTAAACATTTTTTTTTCTGATTCAAGTATTTTTTGCTTTCTAATTCAAGTGCTTTGATGCTTTTTTTAGTATGTTATTTAGTTTTAGTTTTTGATACAATTTTTTGGTTTTCTGAATAAAAAAAAACAAATACATATAATTAATTTAAAGCAAACAATCAAATATTTTCAAGGTTCCATTAATGGCATTTGTATTTTTAAAGTAACGATCAAATATTTTCAAGTATGTAATCTATACTTTTGTCCGATTATGTCTATGGCGTTATATATATATATATATATATATATATATATATATATATATATATATATATATATAAAATCTGTTTTTTTTTAATGAAAAAACACCAACATACCATGATTATCACAGAAGAAATTAAAATTAAAAGAAAGATTACATTGCCATGACAAATGGCTAACAGTAAACAACACACACTCTTGACTGGCGTGTTTTCCTCTCCAGGTTTCAGTCACAACATACTTCAGCACATCTTTGTGGTCTGTTGAGGATGAAGCGGCACCAACAATAAACTGCCCATAAATCTTCTTCTTTGATCGTAGTGATAGAATAATTACGGAGCGGACCAAGAGTGAAGAAATATGGAGCGGATCACACCTGGCACCGTGTGGACTACGTACGCGGCCGGACAGACCATGGAGGGGTCTACCTCCCCGGGGTCCTCGACTACTACCACGGGGTCCTTGGCTACTACCACGGGGTCCTCGGCTACTGTGCACATGGAGTGACGAACCACCCCGGGGTTGGCCAACGTGGGCTCGGCACCCCGGGGTTGGCCAACATGGGCTCGGCACCCCGGGTTGGCCTACGTAGGCCCGGCCACCACGGGGTCGGGCGGCGTACCCGGGGTACCCCGGATTGCGACTCCTCCCGCGTACCCCGGGCCATTAACACAACCGGGGGTATAAGAACACTCCCCGGTGTCTTGTTCAGACATTTTCTACTTTCTTACAACACTTGTCTCGTTATTACACGTCCCGAACTTCTGTAATAGCGTTATACATCCAATTAATATAATATTTCTACCCCTATTGTCGTTTTATTATTAATTTATTATATTCAATCATATATTCGGGTTGTATAATCCAGACCCCCGGGTTCATATAATCTATCATGTAGAAATATGAAATATGTTTTTTCAGTTTGTATCTGAATAGAGGTTGAAGTCTCTAAACATGTATCTTCTATATATATAATTGTGGAATTGAGGACTTGGTTGAAATCACACGGCAACTCTGTAAACAGGCAATAGGCCACTCCCTTACAAATAAGGCCTGACAACATAGGTTTCTGACGTCGGATGGGCAGGAGTATAGATTAATTTGATTGGCAAGCAGCAACGCAAAAAAAAAAAAAATAAAAAAAAAATAAAAAAAAAAAGAAAAAAGAAAAAAAAAACTAAAACCAAAACGTCACCGAACCTCTGTAATAGCGTTATACATCCAATTAATATAATATTTCTATCCCTATTGCCGTTTTATTATTCATTTATTAAATTCAATCATATATTCGGGTTGTATAATCCAGACACCCGGGTTCATATAATCCATCATTGGTGCTTTTGTTGAGAGCGACTGTACAAGCTTAAGCGCTCTCCCTACTATCATTCATCCACCGCGATGACAAGATCCGGGTCAAACACCCACCATTTGCATGATTCGCACAACACTCGCGACCTCTCCCTCGCCAATCACCCTAACGGGACCACGGCCAGTCGGCAAACCGTGCCTGAGGAGACGGGAGGAGACCTCAGAGATCAGATCAACGGGAATCGGCGGGGGATGGCGGAGGACTTCCAAGGCCGACTCAGCAACAGCTGCCCTCACGGCGGATCGGCGCCGCCCGTTCTGCCCCTGGTTCCGACCCCCAGGAGGAGGCGGCCGCGCTCGAACAAGCGGCGACCGCGTTGAACCACGTCGCGGAGGGGCTCCGGCGAGGTGCCCCGACACCTCCACCCCCGGCCCCCTCCGAGGGAACGCGGTGGCCCCAGCACTCGTGTGCCCCGAGCACCCAGGACGCTGGCGGACGGAGAAGTCAACTCGCCGCAACCATCCTAGAGGCGAGGCGAATCGGAGGCCAGCACGAGCAACGAGATGAGAGGAGGACTCGGCCGGCACGGACCACCTCCGCTCTCAGGTAGTTGGGCCCCTGTGTGCTGGCGCGAGGCCAGCCGCAAACGCCAGGCAGGTGGAGTCGTCGTGTTCACGGAGGTCTCGGAGCCATGAACCTCGTGCTCTGGGGCCACGGGAGTCGACCCCACCATTGGAGCACTTGGGGGAGACTAGAGGCCGACCTCCGAGCTCCCAGCGCAACGAGATGGACCAGCTACGCAGGCAGATGCGCAAATTGCAGCGCAAGATTGAGGCGCGCGACGAGTCGTCGGAGCCTCGAGATGCCCTGGTTACACCTTTCGCGAAGGACATCATGGCCGAGCCCTTGCCTCGGGACTTCCGATTCCCTGCCATCAAACCCTACACGGGGGCGACGGACCCTCGGGATCATCTCAACAGGTACAAGGCGGTCATGATGATGACAGGTGTCAATGACGCAATCATGTGTCGCGGCTTCTGCACGACTCTGGACGGTCAGGCCCAAGACTGGTTCGGGTCCTTGCCAGCGGAGTCCATCCCCACTTTTGCCACCCTGGCCAAGAAGTTTATGTCTCACTTCGCGGGCAGCATACAACGAAGGAAACAGTTTGTCGACCTGTGCTACCTGAAGCAACACAAGTCGGAGACCTTGGCGGAGTACCTGAGCAAGTGGAAGAAGGAGGCCAAGGGGGTGACCAATTTCGACAAAAGGCCCGCCATCTCATTCTTCACCAACAACCTCAGATCGATCCTTTCCACAGTAACCTCGTCCGGAACAAGCCAAGGACGTACACGGAGTTGATGGACCATGCCGCACGGTATGCCAATGCCGAGGTGGCGGAGAAGAGGAAGAAGGAGGAGGAGGAAGGCCGGGGCCGGGGCGACAAGGCACCTCAACCTCAAGAAGACCGCCGCCCGTCGCGATTACGCCGCGATCGGGGTCCCCGTTTAGCCCACTGCGACACCTGACCCCGCTAACCCAACCCCTGATGTCATTCTGGACCACGCGGAGGACATGGGCATCGTCGTTCCCCAAGGAGTGCTTGAAGATCTCCCCCAAGGCCGACCCGAAGAAGTACTGTCGTTTCCATCGGCAGCGCGAGCATGACACGGACGAATGTATGGTCCTCAAGAGGCAGATCGAAGAGCTCATCCAATGGGGGTACCTAGGCCAATATGTGAAGAGATCAGGGCAGGACCATGCTAAAGGCCCCGAAAACGCCCGGAAGAAGAAGGATGGCGCCGGGCCATCTGCCTCTGCCCCGTGCAAGAGGGAACTCGGCTAACTCACGGAGGACGAGGAGACCGAGCCGGACAGCACGCCAAAGAAGAAAGTCATCCATATCATCTTCGGTGGCCCGGGGGGAGGAGACACACCCGCCGAGAGGAAGAGATGGGCGCGAAGCCTATATGTGGGGGAGGTCGTCCGAGCACCCCACGAGAAGAGGACACGCAGGGAGCCTAAAACGTTCACCGACGACGACCTCCCGGATGGCCCCTGCCCCACCGAGACGCATTGGTAATCAGACTGGAGATCAAGGACATCATTGTCCACCGAGTACTGGTAGATACGGGGAGCTCCGTGAACGTCATGTATTATGACACCTTCACGCAGCTAGGGTAATCCCGGAAGCAGCTCTGCCAGGTACGGACCCTGCTATCTGGTTTCACCGGGGACTCCATCGAAACGGAGGGCTCCATCACTCTCGAGGTGCAAATCGGCACCCGCCACACGTCAAAAGGTGGGAGGTGGAGTTCGTGGTGGTAAAAATCAGTTGTGCCCATAATATCATCTTCGGTCGACCTGCCTTGGAGGACCTCAGGTGCATCATCTCCATGGAGCACCTTTGCCTCAAGTTCCCCACCCCCACGGGAGTGGGTGTCGCGCGGGGAGACCAGAACATCAGTCGGAGCTGCTACTTGAAGGCATGCCGCCAAATAACGAATAAGGACCTCCAGGTACACACCGTAACCGAGAAGGCGCTTCAAGAGGAAGAGAAACGGCTCCGACCTGACAAGATGGTGAAGGTGGGTACAGGCCTCCCGACCGACCTCCGGGGTCGGATCGTCGAGGTCATCCGCAGCTACAAGGACGTGTTCACCTGGGGTCCCGAGGACATGCCGGGCCTCAGTCGGCAGGTACCCAGAAATCACAACGGGAACGCGGACTTGCTCTCCAAGCTCGGCCTCGGCACCCCGGAGCATGTCTCTAAGATAGAACGAATTGAAGACCTCCAGAGGGCCCCTACCCATGAGGTCCGCGAAGAGGAAGTACATAATAGTCGTCATAGACTATTTTACAAAGTGGGTCGAAGCCGAGCCCCTTGCCACCATCACGAGCACCCGGTGCACGGAGTTCTTACGAAGGAACATCTTGTACCGTTTTGGAGTCCCCATGTAAATCATCTCCGACAACGGACGACAATTTGAGAGCAAAGAATTCAAGGAGTTCTATGACCAACGGTACATAAAACACACCCGCGTGGCGGTGGCGTACCCGCAGGCAAACGGACAGGTGGAGAACGCCAACAAAACTATAGTGGATGGCATAAAAAAGAACCTGGACGCAGCCGGAGGTACATGGGTGGAGGAGCTGGACACCGTCCTATGGGCATACCGCACCACCCCAAAAAGAGCCACCGGGGAGACACCATTTGCGCTAGCATACGGGTTCGAAGTGCGGGCCCCCACCGAAGCTGCGATACCATCTTATCGGGTCGTAATGTATGACTCCGACCTCAATGAGGAGCACCACGCCGCCGACCTCCACCTCATTGATGACAGAAAGGAGGGCGCCATGGTTCGCGCGGAAAATTACCAGCGCCAGACAAAGGCATACCACGACAACGGAGTTCGACCTCGCTACTTTCAGGTCGGCGATTACGTCCTCCGGAGGAGGGAGGCAAGCCGACCCCAGGACGAAGGCAAGTTCGCCAAGAAGTGGGAAGGACCATACGTGGTCGAAGCCATAGTACGCCCGGGCAGCTACAAGTTGAGGACCCCATCGGGCAAGACGGTGGACAGGGTGTGGAACTCAGGGCACTTGCTAAGATTTTACCAATAGAGGCGCATTTGTACGGCCCGGCCCCCCAATAATGTTTTGTTTTTGATCGTAATGGAATAATGAATTTCGTTGTGCAATTGTCTTACCCCGAGTTGAGAAAGAGTACGAGCGCACGCGAGGTCGGGCACCACGGGGTCGGCCTCCTCAGGGACTGCCGACCAGAGGACGGCCGACTAGAGGACAACCATCCCGGGGTCGGCCGACCAGAGGACGTGTAACAACCCAAAATTTTATTTTTATAAATCCAGTATTAAGAAATTCCAAAGTAGCTTTTTCATCTTATAAAAAAATTTTGCGATCAATCGGTGTATGAATAAAATAAATTTGTTCCATTTTTAAAATTAATTTGACACCGAAGAAATGAATTTCATTCGAAAATTCCAAAGTTTTCAGGTACTTCGCGTACCAAGATTTAAATCGAGAATTTTACCCGAGTAAGACCGGGAGAATTAAAAAGAGAATTTTGAACAAGTGTTCATCCATATAGTTTTTGGGAAAATTCACTTTCCACCCCAAAGTAATAAAGAAATATCATTCCTAGCCTATGGTTCATGATACATGGTGAACCACAAGACATCCAAAAATCCCTTAAAAAGTCATCTTTTAGCTTGGGGAAATTACCCCTTTGCCCTCAACCAATCATTGTGTATCATCCTAGGGTTTTGAACCCTATATAAACCCTTCATTCCATCACATTTTCCTAATCTCAATTTCATTGCCTCTTCCTCACATTTTTCTGCCAACATCCAAGGAGAAAACTTCAACCTAGTAAGCTTGTTCATCCTCCTTTCTAGCATCATTTCTCTTCTAGTTTTCTTTAGTCTTTAAGAATATAGGCTAAGGATAGAAGGTGTGTTGGGAGTGTAGGTGGTGAAGGAGGCTCAAGCTAGACCAAGAGGAAGAAGAGATCCAAGCAAGAAGTCTAGACTACAAGAGGTATAACCCCATGGATTCCTCTTTAGATTTGGCTTTGTGAAGCCTAGTTTTGAGTAGAAATGAGTAGAA